ATATTAAAAGATTATTTATAAATTTTCTATTTATAAAAGGTTTAATTAAAAGAGTTCAAGTAAAAGTGTTAAAGTTATAATACTCTGAAAGAAAAATTCAAACCTTAAGATGTTTTAATTCGTTTTGGAAATTCAATTAATAACAAAATTTTAACATATAATAAATTATTATTTGAATTATTTAAAAATTTTAAAATTTATGAAGATTTGAATTTTTTTTTCTTTTTGGGTATCTTAAATTTAACAGTTTCACTTGAATATTCTTTTAAAAAATGATTTGTTAATTTTGGACAATTTATTAAATCATTTGAATATTTTAGAGTTTAGAAAGATTAATTTTTTGAACATGTAAAACTTTTTTTAATTGCAATTTTTTAAAATGATTTATTTTCTAATTTTTTTTTAATTAATTTTATGATTTTTATTTTAGCTATTAATTTTTTAGAAAAATTGATATATCATCACTTTTACAAGTAAATGAACAGTTTCAGCTCATTTTTTATTTGATGATTCAAGTTGAATGTTTTTTTTTTGTAATAATGATGTCAAACTAGAAATTTAAAGTGCTAATAAAAAATCTTGGATGTTTAAAGTGTTTGTGACTGCTACTTTGAAGGTATTTATGCGATTTTCCGATAAGAATGATGCTTTTGATTTTAACAAAACTAACTTTGCTTTGGTTCATGTGATATGGTTGCTACTTTGAAGGTATTTATGCGATTTTCCGATAAGAATTATGATGCTTTTGATTTTAACAAAACTAACTTTGCTTTGGTTCATGTGATATGGTTTAAATGATACCAGCAGTAAACATAAGGGTCTATATATATAGCACTATGTATTTCTTAAAAAAAACGGTTTAAATGATACCAGCAGTAAACATAAGGGTCTATATATTTAGCACTATGTATTTCATTTAAAAAAACACATATATCGTTGTGGATGCTTTAACACGTCAACGTAGATAACATTCTCTTTTGTTATTTTTCCTAGCTGCGTACCAAACCCGCATGCTACCACCATCTTGAAACAATAATGGACTATAAAGATAAACTATATTGCAAGGCAGAAATTGGTGATTAGTCCACTGAGAGATTCTGATGTATAGACACGAAAGGTTCTGTGCACACAATTAAACTGAGGTGGCACTTTATTCCATCAATTGATATTGTCTTTCAGTGCCCGTGACTCTCTCTTATTTCCTTTCTTGTTGGCTTCTGGTAGGGACAACACTCTTCTCGCGGACCGTTGTTTCCATCAATGCTTGTTTGTTTATTTATTTATATTTGATTTACGAACTATACAAATAAAATTGAAATTGCACTCATTAACCAAAAAACAACCATAATTCATTAATTAACCAAAGTTTTTTTTAATAAACCAAAGTTACGCTTTCTCTCCTTTTTTATTTTTTCCTATCTCTCTCTACCTTCTCTTTACCAAACTAAGTTTTTTTTGTTATTTCACAAATAAATTCCAAATAAAACTGTTGTTAAAAAAAAAGAACTATTCAAATAAAACTATGATAAATCTTGTTCTGTAGGCATAGAACTTGTGTTCAGAAAAAGGCATGGAACTCGAATATTTAATAGAATAACCAAATGACGTTAAAGCTTAGGTGAATGATAATTTGATTCATGTAAAAATGACTCCTATTGTCCTTCTAACAATTAGTGTATCTGTTGCCAAAACTCAGTATCACCAAAATCTATATAATTTTTGTTTATCTTCTTGATTGTATTTCCTTGAACACTCACGTCGAACCCTTTGCCTAAAGTCTCACTTCTCATGGTTCTTAATTTCCTCTCGACGTTAGGTCTCATCAAGTCTGGAACTACAATTCACCAACAACCATATACACAATTACCTTTTTTTGTCAACTGGATATCCACAATTACTTTTATTAAATTTCTAAATTTTATTTTCTTTAAAAAGATAGGATAAATTTGATAAAATAACGAAGTTACCCAAATCAAGGTTCTTTACATAAATAAAATTTCATTACAGTGTACAACTCAGAATCATTAAAGAATATAAAAGCACACAACAACACATGTTTTTTTTTATATGGTGCACAGTGCACATACAACAACACCATTTATTCTGATCTCTACTCCCAAAAGATCAATTTAAAACTGCACCACCATATCCTTTAAGATACCCGGGTCATAAATCTCAGAGCTAGATAATGAATGACATTTATTCAGAGCTTCGCTTTTACAGACTTATGAAAAATCTTTGTGTTGGTATCACGTTCATTTAACCAACGGACCCTCGACTTCTGCTTAAAAAGGATTATTTTACTGCTGAAAGGAATAACCATGTTGATCTTGTTCCCTCTTCTTCCGCAAATAACTCAAAAGTAAGCGTAGTAAAGACTGGTTGTTGCACTTTTTAAAGATGAGAGAATGCTTCTTCTTTTTTCTAGCAGAAATTTAAACCTTTGGAACAAAACTAAGCCTTCCTCAACTGCTGGTAAAGATCAAATATCGGGGCAGAAGGAGCAATCTCCGATAACCAAGCATCTCGAAGAAGAGAGAGATAATTCCGAATGAGATGAAAAAACTGAGAAGAAGATAAACCTTGTCTTACGAGGTGACGATTCGTTTGACAGATAAAGTAGACATTGAGAATGGTCAGACGTTCCCGGAGCGTCAAAATAAGCATATGAATATGGATATTAATTAGACTAGCTCTCGTTTACCAAGTCCATGTCCAATTTCCTAGCTTTCGGGTTTGAGACGCTCTTATTGGACCAGGTGAATTGGCATCCCCTATAGGACAAATCAAAAACTTCACTATTTGAAATACCATTGTTAAAATCCCCCATCCCCGAGGGCTGAAAATTGGTGACGTGAGAGAGAAGATTTCAGAGAGTTCTGTGACTTGGTTGAAATTAATCTCCTATAATGTTCCACAGAGAGTTTCTGATTAAGGGAGAAACAGAGAGTTCAGTAATAATGTTCCAGAGGTTGACTCTCTCCTCTTTGCGGTTCCTTGCATAAACAAAAGCTACCGTAAAAGACTGCCCAGATCTCGGGTTAAAAACTCCACATAACATAAGTTGGGGAGACTTGAAATAGATGAAGACTGAAAGTATGGGATCCCACACTACCACGAGGCTCCCATTCTCAGCCTCTTCATCAAAACTCCAACCTGGGGCCACACTGTTCAGAATACTAAGGAGACTTGACTGCTGCGTATGAGCTTCCAAAAGAGCACCCATTATAGGTTTAGAGCATCTCCAACGGTGTTACCCGTTGGAATCCTTAAAAAAACTGTTTTTAAAAAAAAAATTTCATTATTATTTTTGTTTTTTTTCAGATTTAAAAAATAAATAAATACTAACCAATTGCGGATCGCCACGTGTCATAGGACCCGAAAATAGTGGAAGAATTCGCTACAAAACTATCTTTATTTAGAGATTTTAAAGATCGAATCCTTAAATTTTTATAGGATTCATTGATTATTTAATTTTTTTTTTCTAAGGACTCCCCATAAGGACTCGGAAATGCTCTTTTTATCTTTAACCAAACAATAATAGAAGTCTGTTTACTAATTCCATTTATACTTTCAACAAAACTCTTCACGAGAAGACAAAAGAGAGGTGGGGTGCTAAGCAATAAGCCTCATTAGGACAGACAGAGCAGAGAGACTTATGTCTGACTGAAGTTGAACCAACATTAGAACTTAATGCCACACCAGCGCCAAAAAAAGAATCATCTTGCATCGACATGTTATCTGTGAGCTAAAGCAGTTTCTACAGTTGTTTTTTCCTTGCATTTTTTCTTGAAAAAACCGTGGGAAAAGCTTGAGGATTCTTGTCTATATTAGCCAGACGACTTTTGATAATGGCTTGAGCTGATTTAATTAATTCTTCTTCCTCCGGAAATTAGGAATTTGAGATAGCAACTGGAGACCCGCATCAGAGTTAAAATAAGCCTTTGGATGCGAAGATCTATTAGCAACTTTGATCTAGAATAAAGAAGAAGACTTTGAGTTGTGAGGATTTTTCGAAGGAGAAGAAGAAGAAGAAGGCAGACTCCTTGATCTCTAAAGAGTTTGGTTCTCTGGAATGGATTCTGAAGCCAAGCACACACCAGAATTTGTCGGACTGATTTCGCCCTCTTCAAGAATCTCATCAGCTGCATCAACATGTACAATAATTTATAACTTACACGTTAACGAAAATAATATTTTGAATCGTTTTATCACAATGTACTTCAGTAAAGAAATAATTATAGTATTCTGAGCTAAAAAAAAAATTTAGTATTTCCCAAACATTAATTCTTTCCAGATTATGTACTTATTTTTTTAAGATTTGGTATCAGGCTTTCTTGAAATCGCAGATTTATATAACCATTACACCTAGATTTAGCAGAAAATACCATCATTTTTATTTTCTTTTGTATATTTAAACCGAGTTGAATATAACATATAGTTTACAAATATTTATTCAAAATTTAACCAGAAATTTCTTATATATAATTATAAGTTCAAAGTTTTCTTCAATCTTTGTTTTCTATTTAACTTATTCTTAGAAAGCTATCAAAATTCACTACATGTATTAAATCAAATATGATTTACATCAGTAATCAAATATCATCAAAACAAAGAAGATATAGGTTTAATAAGGATATTAAAATCAGTAATTCAATAATGTATAATTTTATTTAGATTTCCGAATCCATTAAAATCTATAAATTAATAATCTACACTAAAAATACAATCTGATAATAAGCACTCTGCAATAATATTATGTGATTTTCTTCAAATACATACACTTTTTCTTTCTTTTCTTGCAAATGTTGATCAACAAGAGGTTCCTTCAAGATTTTTCATTAATTTGCAATTTTATGCTTTCATTTTATTGCTGTATAAATATAAAGATTTATATATGTATATGCAGGTATATGCATATTTCTCTCTTTCATACTATACTGTTCTTCTGTATTTCGGCAAAAAAAAATTGTATTCCCAAACATATAATTTTCTATTCAATGGATATAAAAGCCCTTCATCTAAAAGTTCAAGAGATGAGACAATCTTTCTTTGACGAGGTTAGTGTATATTTCAAACTAATGAGCATATAAACATATATTGAATGCATAACAATCCGGTTTATCTAGTCCAAAATCAATCCATTTGATTTACAATTAGTATCTACGGATAGCGTCATCCTAAGCTCTTTGGTGTTGGTTTGCAAAGCCTTCATTGAATCTATATAAGTTGATGGCAACAAAAAATAAGCTCGTTGTTAAAAAACATTGTTGAAAAGTTGAAGTTGAAAATATCGAAAATCATTTATTAGAAATCTTTCAAAATAATTCCTAATTATATTAATGCAGGGGTACCTTGATTGTCAGTATACTCAGATAGAAGCATTGGAGAAAGACTCAACCCCTTATTTTATTGTAGAAATTATAACTCTCTACTTCAGAGATTCCCCTAATGTTATTGCGGCTTTGGAACATGAACTGTGAGTCTCCTAACTCTTTGCATATCAAAATCCGCTTTGATATATCCATGGAATGGAGAGTTAGATCTGGCCGGGTATATTTGTGTGTATGTGTATTCGGTAATACCTAAAAAAGAAGTAATACCTATATCTAGTTAAAGAGTAGATGCACAACTGCAAGATCTAGGGCACAACTCTACGTAAAGTAAAACAGATGTGAAGCAAGTATAATAAGAACAAAATTCTATACATAGTAAAACAAATCTTGTTTATAAGTTTCTATAACATATGTTGATTATTGTAAAACAGGGAGCGAGAGCCAGTAGAGCTAACCAAGATTACCAAATGCATTAATCGGTTAAGAAGCAGCAGCTCCAGGCTAGTGATTTTTATTTTGAAATGTAATTTCCAAATTAACAAAAAAAAATTAACACTGAAATATAAATGCTGGATTTTTTTCTCATCAGCATCGGCGCCATCAAAGTTAACAGTGAACTTGAGAAGGCAAACGCACTTCTCAAATCTGGCAACATAAAAGAGTAAGAACGTTCTTTTCCTTTTGTTTATTCAGTTCAGTTTACATATAAGTCTTCATCAGCTATGAGATATAATGCACGAAACTGTTTGTTTTATTTTGCATTATTTTGAAATTTATGTTTTCACTTTGAAGAATGAGAGCAGTGGTGCGTGATATTAAGAGGGAGCACAGTGAACTCCGCGCAAAGTTTGAGACATATTTTCAGGTATGTAAATTTGTTAGTTAAAATGATTCTTAATAACAGATGATTTCTTTGTTTGATTTACATATAGTACATTTAACCACAATAAACTTTTCATATGATCTGGAATTGGATCTAGTTCTTAGCATATATTTTTTGTTGCTAGTTGATGAGACAAGCTGGTCCTACAGAACAAGCTGTGAACTCAAGCTAAAGAAATGTAAGCCATGTAGTTTGGCTTGCACGACAAATACTCCACTGTCCAAATCCGACCGTTGATCGATATCAGTAATTATAATGATTGTAGTAAGAATGTTATATTTGTTTTCTTTGTCTCAGTTTTGTTTGTTACTTATGTTATGATATATAATAAATAAATGACTTGTTTGGATTAAGTAACACTTTTAAAAACTGAATTTATTGATATTTGGCACTGGGCTGACATGATTGGTTGCAAAGCTATGATATGATTTTAAGAAAAAAAATCAAGAAAAATTCAAAATAAGTTGAAAATATATTTTTATATTGTAAATGATTATATAGTGTGATGTATAAGAGCTGTACAACGAGTTGAATTTTGGAACAATCTTAATATATCAATTCATCAACCGGTTACACATGATTTTTTTTTACAAAATGAGATACAATACGTACACTACAAATGTTTAAAACAAAGTTACTAGGGATGAAAAACAATTAATATAATATTTTGTTTTCTTTCTCATCAAAAATTACAAATTCTCAAATTAACATCCCCAAAAGGAACGATCATTCCAAGTCAAAAAATAATTAAAAAAAAAACAACGCATTAGATTAGTGGTCGTCAGCAGCGACGGTGACAACGTAAACTAATGGTTCCGTTAAATCACCGTTACTTTGCGCCATAATAACCACATCAACGCTTTCACTGCACGTAAGCTTTCTAGCTCTCATCGCTTCTCCCTCCCAATCTGTAGTAGCCACGACATAAAGCATCATAGCAGCACAACTTATCTGAGCCGCGAAAAGACCTATCCAGAGCCCGCAAAACCCATACCCGGCCCAAAACGTTAGCCCAACAGCCACAGGCGTTCCGACAAGGTAAAACGCACCTAGGTTTATGTTGGCAGCTTTAGACGGCCTTGCGGTGCCTCTAACGACCCCACAACCTACTGTTTGAGGGCAGTTACCTAGCTCGCAGAGCCCGAGAATAGGCAGCGCAGCCGCCGTTAGTTTGATGATATCAAAATCGTTAGTGAAAATCTTTCCCCATACGTCGCTTACACCCCAAGCAAACGCAGAAGCAGTCATACCCATTACTCCAGCAAAGGTAACGGCCACAATGGCTGATAACCTAGCCGTGTTTGGTCGGTTTGATCCAAGCTCGTTACCTACGCGGGTAGAGACTGCAAACCCTAGAGACGATGGGAAAATGTAAAGCAACGACGTCGTTTGGATAAGAATGCCCATTGCTGCCACTGGTGTTTGAGGGTTTATGAGTAAACCACAAAGAACCGTCATGATCTCGTACCACCACCACTCTAGGCATACACCAACGCAGCTAGGTATTGCGAGACTAACTAGTGGGCCCCAATCTTTGAAACATTCTGAGCTAGGGCGTGTCCACGTTGGCTCGTGTAGACCTTTGGCCCAAACGTAGGCCACAAGGAAGACGATAACACAGATATTTGAAGCGGCTGCGGCCATTGAAACACCGATGAACCCCATTCCAAGGTAAGAAACTAGGAGAAAGTTCATTGGTATGTGGAAGATGGTGCCGGCCAGTGTGGCGATAGTTAGTGGACTTGTGATACCTTGTGCTCGAAGGTATATACGAAGAGGGTTAAGAATAGAGTTGGTGAGCAAGTCAGGAATAGAGAAGAGGATATACGTTTGAGCCAAAGATGCGATACTTGGATCTTGGTGGAGAGAGATCATGATCTTCCCTAGGTTAAGCCATAGAGCAACGATTACAAGCGAGCTGGTGAGCAAGAAGAGCACGGTTCTTTGAAGAGTTAGTGAGAGGAGTGTTGGCTTTCCAGCTCCAAAGGCTTGAGAACACAATGGGTCCATGCCTAGGGCAAGGCCTGCAAGAACTGAGTATCCAGTGATATTGGCAAAGGCAATGGCCAAGGAGCCACCAGCGAGTTCGAGTTCGCCTATATGGCCAAGGAAGAGCATTGAGATGGCTGAGCGAGCATAGAGGATGAGGGCGGCGAGGATGGTGGGGAAGGCTAAGGAGAAAAGAGACCTTGCTTCTGTCTTAAGCTCAGAGATTATTGGGACAATGTGGTTAGGGTTTTGCTTTTCTAGGTCTATCTTCGATAGAAGATTTGTGTGACTGGTGATGTTTGAGGTTTCCATTACTCTGTCAAATGAAACACAAGACGAGTTTTGAATTAGTAGATAAGATTATTTGCCGATGTCTGAAGCATAACTTTTCTTGTCCTATATATAGTTCACAAGTAGACCCTAGATGTCTCCACGACCAACAAGAATGTTTCACATATATGCCAGACAAATGGATTTCTTCAATTAAAATAAAAAGTCAAATATTTATTTAACTGATAGCTGCTATTTGAAATATATTTTAGATTTGAAAGTACGTTATGATCTGTGTTTAGTATTATTTTATTGATTCATCTCAGAATATATTAACCACATAAAACTGGCATTGTTAATGTAGATTACAGCCGCAAAGATCATTCTGTTTGTGCTGATTAGTTGTCCGATAAAACTCTTGCCGGTATAACAAAATACATAACGTGTCCAAGAGACATCACATGATTCACATCATCATTCCGAGGCTTGCATTCGTTTCTCATGTGCTTGATATTTCTCCTGTAGTAAATAACTCACGTTAGAGATAGAAGAAAGACACTACCAGTTTTGTTGTTAACAATAACAATAAAGAGTCGTTTTAAACTTTATTTTGTTTCTTTGAGGTTTCGTCATTGTTACTTG